CGCGGGGACCCGCGGAGGGGATGAGGGTGAGGCGCGGGTGCGGAGCGGCTTCCTGCCACAGCCTCGCCGTGCCTTCCAGACATGGCCCCTTACTACGAGGCCCTGTGCAAGTCGCTGGACTGGCAGATGGACGTGGACCTGGTCAACAAGATGAAGAAGGCGAACGAAGAAGAGTTGAGACGCTTGGACGAGGAGCTGGAAGATGCGGAGAAGAACCTGGGGGAGAGCGAGATCCGAGACGCGATGATGGCGAAAGCCGAGTACCTCTGCCGGATCGGCCACAAGGTGAGCCGGTGAGGGCGACGTCGCAGGTGAAGGTAACTTTCTCAATGCACGGGAGCACTCACTGGTTCTCAGGGCGCATTCCCTGCTTCAGACAGCAGCCAGGGGTTTTCCTTGCTCCTTCTTAAATTAGAAGACTTTGTTTTGAGGCCGAGTCTCACTATGTAGTTGCGACTGCCCTGGAACTCACTATGCAGCCCAGGCTGGTCTCGAACTCACAGCGATCCTCCTGCCTCAGCCTCCCGAGTGCTGGGATTGCAGGCGTGAGCCACCACACCCGGCTAGAAGACTTTTTTAAAAAACAAACCCAGGAGTCACATAGTCCCGTTTATTGTGCATACCTGGCACTATATCTGAGGGGACTTCCCATGTCAACTCAGGAAATCTTTCCCATTCCAGTTGACTGCTGCCTAATATTCCAGCATAGAATATGCCTTCTGTAGGGCCCGCATGTGTACAAGGTATGTTCACTGTAGTTCGACCCGCTGTTCATGGATGGGAATGTTGTTTCAGCTGTTCATGCTTTAACTGCTGCTGCTTTAAAGAAAGCTTGGGTATGTCTCTTTTTGTGTGTGTGCTGGTATTTTTTAGGGTGCTGATTCCCTGTGAGGTGAACTGCTGAGGACATGAGCAGCTTTTGTTTAACACGTGTGGTCAGCTGTTTTTTGTGCTGTTCACCAATCTGGGAGTTTTGTTTGTGACAGGGTCTTGCTATGTAGACAAGGCTGGGCTCAAACTCATGGTGAACCTCCTGCCTCTGCCTCCTGTGTGCTGGAATTACAGGAGTCCCGGGTCTTTAAAATTTATAGTTTAGTAGTTGTGTAATAGTTTAGAGGATGGGCTTTAAATAGTCTTAAGTAGTTATTAAGTATGTAGACACAAGATGATATGGTGTCAGTACACAAAACTAAACAGTGTAGGTTCTTGGGTCAGATGACCTGATTTTTATTTCCAACCTGAGTAATTGTGATTTATAGAACCTTCAATTTCCTCATCTGTCACACAGGGTAACAATAGTTTCTACTTAATGCTGACAAAGATAAAGATAAAGAAGTGAGACTTACACGCTTGTGCACAAATATGTGCTTATGTGTTACTTAAATTTAATTTAAAGTCAGTTTTCTGTAATTATAAGTTGAAGAAGGTCATTGTCAAGATTTGTCCAGTAAGTGAAATTACTAGTTTGTGTTTACTTTTAGGCTGTGCATGAATACAACTTGGTTTCAAGAGTAAGGAATCCCGTGTGAATGGCAAACGTCAGGCTTCTGATTTAGGCTTGAATACGAGTCAACATCGGGACACTGTAGGTGGCCGTGTTTAGTCCCCTGCTCTTCTGTGTGTGTCCGCCACTGCATAGTTCACCCTGCGCGATGAACGACGTGATTGTTGCTCGGGCAGGCATCATGTCAACCAGTCAGTCCGTGTGTTGAATACATTTGATGGCGTTGTCATTTTTATATTTTTGTTATCTTATAAAAATGAACAAAAATTGCAACTTTTGGTCATTTTCTGTTTAAATAATTGAACTGGCAAATGATTAAGTAACATTCTTCCAAAAAGAATGATCCCTTTTTCCCCACCTATTTACTTTTAAAAAAAACTATTACCACCAAATGCCTACTAGACTTTAGTGGGTTGTTATTATTCTGTTACCATTAATTATAGTTTGTATTCTTTATCTCAGTGTATTGCAATCTTGTTAGAAGCTTCTTCAAAATGGTTCCCTCGTCCTTTTGACAGTATCTTGTAGATCTTTATTTTTTGATACACTATGATGTCACAAACTCACCTGTTGTTTTTCCTTTCCAACCTGAGACCTTCCCTGGTCTCTCAGTGCTGGATCGTACTTTTCTGAAGATCCGAAGCGTAACTAATTGTACAAAACAAGCCAAGCTGGGTGCAGGGACACCCTGAGGTAGAGGGTCATTAGTTTTAGGCCAGCCGGGGTTACATAGGGACATCTGTCTCAGAAAGCAAAGAGCAAACCACCAGCCAAGACAGTGCTGAAAAGTACCACGTATAAACAAGAGGTTTTGTTCATGTTCTTTAGTAGGACACAAGGATCTTTTCATTACTGTATGCTTGGAGTTAGAAACATGCATTTACATATTTAGTTGTCTAAGCATCACTGATTAAGATTACAATGACTGATAATTTATAATAAGGTTATGTGGACGTAGTATACTCCCAAAACCATTGAGTATACGAGACAGAGAGTACTCCTTTACAGGGGCAAGTAAATTATCAGTGTTCCTCACCGACTGATTTTTAGAATATGAGCAAATGCCAGGCATTTCTTTATAAGTGAAAAGAATAGTCATCAGTTTGTGACCATGTTTTCTCCACGCTGCTGTTCTCCCCGCCCTTCACAGAACCCTGGCAGCAGTTGGGGACTTTCTTCACATCTGTCTTCTTGGCTTTCTTCACAGGAGGGAGCTCTGACAGCCTTTCGGAAGACCTACGACAAGACGGTGGCCCTGGGCCACAGACTAGACATCGTGTTCTATCTCCTTAGGATTGGTCTGTTTTATATGGATAACGATCTCATCACGCGGAACACAGAAAAGGCCAAAAGGTATTGTTTCGTAATGTGGATTCTATTGTTTGTGAGCAACCGATTGGCCTGTTTTCTTTTATTTTCAGCTTTTAAGTTTGGTCAGTTCATTGATATAGCTGTTCATTGAAATACCTTATTTCTTTTTGGGTCAAGTTGTTAAAAGTTTTCTCTGAAAATTAAAAAAGAGTGGCGTTGTTTGTCCCCAGATTGTGAGTTCGTTGCTTTTATTAATAGCTTAATAGAGGAAGGAGGAGACTGGGACAGGAGGAACCGCCTAAAAGTGTACCAAGGTCTCTACTGCGTGGCTATCCGTGACTTCAAACAGGCAGCCGAGCTCTTCCTGGACACTGTTTCAACGTTTACGTCCTATGAGCTTATGGATTACAGAACATTTGTGACCTACACTGTGTACGTCAGCATGATCGCCTTGGAGAGACCAGATCTCAGGGAAAAGGTAACAGTCGAGCCTTCGTGATGCGTAGTTAGAGGACCGCTCCATGCCTTAACCCCACCGGCACACACGCGCACCATGGCAGTGCAGGCTTGTTTCAACGTGTGTGGTCCATACGACTGCATACATCTCGGGGACTGCTGCGTACTCGTGCATCTTGACCCCACCCAGCCTCTGCGGAGCCCGCCTGCCTGTTAACTTGGGCCTTTTACTTGGCTTTCTTAGCTCCTTCAGGAAGCTATGCGCCCGCCGTGTGAGCTTCTGTGAGTGACTTGCTGTTGTTGTGTTTTTAACCCCGTAGGTCATTAAAGGAGCAGAGATCCTGGAAGTGCTGCACAGCCTCCCGGCGGTCCGGCAGTATCTGTTTTCCCTCTATGAGTGCCGCTACTCGGTCTTCTTCCAGTCGTTAGGTAAGAAGAGTCGCTCAGTCTGATCAGCCGTCTTCCTCTTCGGATCCTGTGTTCGCACAACCACGGATGGGCTCACATATCTGAAGGGGCAGTGTGGATGGTGCAGGCCCTTGATCAGGGTGCTTCGTCCTCTGCCACTGGTTGAGGCGAAGCTGGCAAAATGAGCCCAGGCAGCCTGCAAAGCGACGATAATGCTTAAGTGTTTAGTGTGTTTTAAAGAACCAAAGAAGGTGGTGTGATGGCTGTGTGGCTTACAAAGCCAGGAAGTATTTCTTTTTTTGGTACCGGGGATTGAATTCGGGTCCCCACCAAACCGCTGAGCTGAATCCCCGGCCCTGGAAGTACTTCTTGCCTGGCCCTTTGACGAGGAGGTTAGCCAGGTTCCCGGTTTAGTCTTCAGGGGGTACAGGGCAGATATAAGCGGTTAAAGGTGTCACATTTCATGGGAAGAGAGGGGAGACACTGGGGTCTCTCTCAGCTGAGATGCAGTCTTGACTTCGGTGATGGGCTGTGCGATGCCCAGGTTTCCTGCTGATTTACAAGTGACGCAGGATCCTACGGGCTAGAACGTATTCGGTGGGGAAGGGGTGCGCCCTTCAGAGCTCCCCACACAGACTGCCGTTCCCCAGGCCCCCTTTCCTTCTTGGCCATCGGATTTCCGCTGAGGTGGGGGGGGGGCCTTAGCTCACATCCCAGCATCTTCCTGAGGTTTGTGAAGGGCACGTCTCAGGGCTGCCCTGCAGGGATCCAACGGGTTTGAACGGCGGGAAGGGAAGTCTGCTCCGATGCCTGCTCTGCCTCAGTGATGAAGCGAGGCTGCACGCTGAGAGCCAGGGCTGCTCCGACACAGCCCTGACTTCTCACGCCCGGAGTCCGTTTCATGTCCCTTTCTGTTGGAGTTCAGATGCACGCTACGCACTGCGGCACTGACCGTCTGAAGGTGTCGTGGAGGACGCACCGGGCGGCACCTCAGGCAGCCCATTGGGCGTTGCAGTGGGCTCACACAGTACTTGGCCTTTTCTGCCTGGGTTTCTCACTGAGCCTAAAGCTTTCACAGGTCCTCCGTGTTGTAGTACGTGTGTACTTTATTTTGTTTTATGGCAGAGTGGTTGTCTGCTGTGAATATTCCATCATTCATTTTTTGGTTTATTGAGACAGGGTGTTGCCATGCAGTTCAGGCTGGCCTCGATCTCGTGGTGATCTTCCTGCCTCAGCCTCCCCACTGCTGGGATTACAGGAATGTGCCCTGCACCTGGTTTACCATCTTGTATTTACTCATTTTAGTTGACAGACTTGTCCTGCTTCTGCTGTTTGGCTCCTATCAGGAAGGCCATGGTGAGCACTTGTGTCCAAGACCTGTGTGGACATGTGCTGGCATCTGTTAGGTGGATGTAGGCCTGGAACTGCCAGGCTGTGCTGCAGCTCTCTTCCTGAGGAAGTGCGGGCGTCAGTGCCCTGAACCTGCTTCCCGCTGGCTTCCCGACGATGGGTGTGGGGGGTGTGATCCGCTGCTCTAGCACTAGCTAGGTTGAGCAGCTTCTCTCCTGCTTACTGCTGGTTGTTAAAGCGTGGCGCTGTGTTGTGATTCTTAGTTTGTCTCTTCTGCCTAACTAGAATGTTGAGGGGGAGACCTTATGCATTTTAAAAACAAACTGTTAATATCCTTGCCACCAGCTCAGCACATGATCAAGTGCTTTGTGCAAGTGCTATGTTAACTGATCAGTGATCTAAGAGGAAAATGCCTTCCTGCTACAGTGCACTTGATGGTTGTGGGAACTTTTGAGTGTTTTCAGAGAGTAAGCCCATCCTTCCTGCTGCTCCATCCTTATTAGCACTTTTGGATGAAAAAAATTTTAATTGTTTTCCAAAACAGGGTCTCTGAGACAGGGTCGGGCTAGCCTCAAACTCGCCACGATCGTCCTGCCTCAGCTTCACATGCTGGGCTCAAAAGCCACTATGCTCAGCTCAGAAACATCTTTATTGAGACGGGTCCCAGATATCTTGGGTACAGAAGACAGAAAAGTCAAGTGTTCTTATGATAGAGTGAGTGATGTTCAAATCATTTTATCTGCATAGGTACAGTGAGATGTGGGGTAATAATCGTAAGATTTTCTCAAACATTCAGACTGCTGTGCTTTAAAATACTTCAACTGAAAAAGGAAGCAACATTCTTTTCTAGGCAATATCTGATTGTTTTTAGAACTTAAAAATAGACCAAGAACGTGAAAGGTGTGATATCCCACTTCCCCACTCTATACATATTTACTCAGACAAAACCCTTCCAGAAGTACCCATCTCAGATTTTGTTGCGTATCCTTCTAGACCTTTTACTCTTTCACGTGTGCATTTAGGCAGCCAGGTTACCCGCGCCGTGGGCAGTTTCCAGCTGTAGCGTGCAGTACTGGAGCTTTCCTAACCTGCCCTCACAGAGGCAGCTGCTGTCACGGGTCTCAGGTGTGTCCCTCACCGCGTCTGTATCCAGGCTGGGAACACTGGGGACTTAGCAGGTGCTGTGAATGTGTTTCACAGGCTGCTTTCCAGGAGGTTTTCCTCTTCTCACAGTTTGTGTCACTGTGCGAAGGCTAGTGGTTCAGGCTGCCAGCTTTAGCTGGCTGTGGCGTACAAGAAGATGAGCACACAGCAGGGTGTGGGAGCTCTGCGGAGGCCCTTTCTGAAGGCTCCTTGTCTTTACTGATGGAAATGGGCTTGTTCCCAGGGTGACTCATACAGGCAGTCCTGTTTTGAGTATTCTCATTTCTTAGGAGAAGAACCCAAGGAATTGAATTTTGTGGAAGATAACTACATCGTGACCACTGGTGCCCTCCAGAAATACTGCGCTATCCCCCTCTTACTTCCTAGCACTTGAGAGCCAGTCTTAGAGCAGAACAGCTTCACTGATGTTTCTTGCATTTCTTCAATCCGTGGGAACTCGCACTGTCTCGTGTCTGGTGTCAGTGAAGCTCCGTGTTCCAGGGCTGGTGTCCCATCTGCTTTGATGTTGCCTGTCCTGCGCTGCTCCAGCTTTGTTCTCCTCGCTCCATAGCGACATGCTTTTGTTTTCTCTGACCGACCTCCTCGTCCTTGGTAGATGCTTCAGACTGTGGTCTCTGCCCTGGCCTTTGTCTCCATTCTGTCATTGAACAGCGTCTGGATGGCAGCGATTCCCAGACTTCCTGCTGAGCACCAGACCCACGCCTTACCACCTCCTTGGTGCCTTTACCTGCTGGTCCACCAGAACAGTGCCACAATATGCCCGAGTCTCACCTGCCCGCCTGCCTTGTTCAGGTCACAGACAAGTATATTCTCCATCTCTGTCCTTGTAGGTCACCCACCGGTACACTCCAATCTGGCCTTTCAGTTCCTGTGTGCTTACCCTTTACGCTGCCTTGGGGCCTTTGCTTCCTTGCTGGGCTCAGTCTCTGAGGTCTTCCCTGGCCACCCCTGCTGGGTGGAGGGTCTCCCGGTCACTGGGCCTCGTCTTCACAGAACTTGTTTAGTATCCCTTGAGCTCTTATGATTCGTTCCTGCTCTCTGAAACTTAATGTCCTTGCTGCCAAAGAAAATTGTCTTTTGGTTTATTGCTGTACCTTCAGTATGTAAAGCAGTGGCAAATCGGTAAAATAATTTGCATTTGTGTGGATTGTTAATGTCAAAATTTACTGTTCATCTTTTTTCTGATAACAGCCTTTGTTAGTTAAGGCTATTAACCTTTTTTTAAAGTAGCTGCATGTGTTGTTTTCATATTTTGGCTGGATATTTTTTGTCCTTCTGCGGATGCAATCCAGGAGCTACCTCCCTAGCCCACAGCTACTTCCAGTCTTAGCGTTGTTTCCTTAAACTCTCTACATTTCTGGCAAGGGGAGTCATTGGTATTTCCCTGTATTGCTTGTGTTCTGTAACTTTTGAAAATATCTGATTTGTATCTTTCTGCTCTTTTTTCATTTGTCACTGTACCTGTTCAAATTTATGAAGAGAAGAGAGTAAAAATGTATTTCACTCAAGGGTACAAGAAGCTGCCCTGGCTAAGTTACCAATGTCTGAACTGTGTCACCTGTGAACCCAGCCCTCTTGGAACTGGTTCTTCTCCCTGGACGGTGCCAGGCTGCTGAGTGCTGCTTCTGTGTGCCTGTGCTCCCCACGGTGGCTCCCCAAGCAGGCACGCCGTGCAAGGGCAGTGGGAATGCTCACCACCTCCAGTCTGTTTGATCGATAGCCTGTCTTCTCATTTGTTTCAGCGGTTGTGGAACAGGAAATGAAAAAGGACTGGCTTTTCGCACCTCATTATCGATACTATGTCCGAGAAATGCGGATCCATGCCTATAGCCAGCTGCTGGAGTCCTACCGCTCATTAACCCTGGGCTACATGGCGGAGGCCTTCGGGGTTGGTGTGGAATTCATTGATCAGTAAGTGTACACAGCACTGTGTTAACTCCTGGTGTAAAGTTGCCTTTTAATGTGAATGTCTACACTTCCCACTTGCATTGCTTGCCTCAATTTAAGGGGGGAAAGCAGCTTTTTTTCTGAGTATTATCAAAGTAGTCATGTGTGTCGTCTCTCTGCCTTCCTCAGTCTCACTTTCTATTGACAGGTAAGAAAAGCAAGTTATGGACAGGTAAGAAAAGCAAGTTATGGAGAAGTTAACTGACTGACTAATGGTTATCAAAAGTTCTGATAACGAGTTGTTGACAAAAGTCGCCTCTTTGTGACGCACACTGCAGCTATCGTGACGACTTGGGTCTTGTGTATTTCTGTCTGGCACATTTTCTCTGATAATACCTCCCAGTTTTGAGATTGCTGCTGTAATTTTGGTCAACCTGGTGGTTTATATGTGGGACGTTTGCACCTGAGTCAGTGATCCAGCAGATACTGAGCCATTCCTGTATGTCCACCGTCACGTAGGTTCCTGTGGTCAAGCACTTTCACCGTAGCTGCAGGGGAGAGATGGCAAAAAAGCAAATATGAAGGTCACTGCAGGTGGGAGGAGCCTACCGATAGGAAAATGCCGCATGTGCCCGAGGCAAGCATCTCAGGTGATGTTTGCCCCGAGGTCCGTTGAGTGCTGCCGTGTGGACCTCGCTCGGTGCAGAGGGAGCCAGGAGCAGGCTTGGACTTTGCAGGACAGGAACTGCAGGTGTGGCTGCAGCATCGATAGAGTGGCGGGAACACGGAGGATGCAGAGTGAGCAGTTCGTGCTGTGCAGCTGGGTTGTCAGTGGACCGCGTGTGTGGTTCCCGATGCCTCTCGAGCAGAGACCAGTGGTCTGTTGTGACACCGAGGAGCTGTCCTGGCTGCTGGGACTAGGGTGGTGGGAGGAAGGGCGAGATGCTGGCTTGAGAATGCGTGACATCAAGAGGAGTCGGTGATTCTGAAGCGTAGGTCTTGTAACGCAGTAGTGCACGCGTGACATCCTGTCAGGCAGCTGTGCAACCCCCTAGTGCTGGTGGTCAGGCTGCCTGGCAGCAAGGCCTACAAATTACAGCCCCATCGAGAATGTGTGCAGCACTGATGATGTCCATGGCTAAAACAGTGAAGGCCACACTGGGGCCATGTCGTTTAAATGTATATTCAATTTCAGACATGCAGAGAATTCTACATTGTACAATGAATTTTCTTATTTTGTTAATTTGGTGATCACGTGTCTATCCATCTTTTTTTTTAACCACTTCAAAGCAAGTTTCAGACACCAAGTCCAACTTTAAATTCTTAAAATATGAGTTTGAGGGAAACAAATTCATTGCAGTGCCCAGGTCTTAGGTGTGACCAGGCCCCTACTGAGAAATTCACTCGTTTTCTTCCTTAGAGAGAAATTAGTTGTTTTTCATTGACCCTTCTGAGCCCAGGCCTGGTGGCCACTGGCCTGGCAGGATGTATGGCACATTACTGGCATTTTATTTATTCATGAGTGGATGGAGGAGTGGTGTGTGGTGATCGGGGCCTGGTGTCTGTTCCAGCCCCGGGGCTGCATGGCCGTTGTGGGTGCTGCCTGCCCCTGGGTCCCTCGAGTCAGTGTGACTGGGGCTGAGGAGCAGCTGGGCAGAGCAGGGACATGGCATTCAGGCGTGCTGAGGTGCTGTCATCCGCATGCACGGCGGCTTCGTGTGGTATTTGAATTTTCCTTTGGGATCCAGACCAGTGTTTGAGGCAGAAACACTATGGAGCTCTAGTTGTTATCCAGAAGGTCCTCCTTTTATATTCCTGTGACGCCTGGACATTTCCTCCCTTCTTCTCAGGTGAGACTGCAGAGGTCTTGCTGCTGTGCTGCAGAGTGCCGTTCATTACAGGGCTTTTGTTTGGGACAGCGAATTTGTTCACAGGTTTATCAGATTTTTCTCCTAGTATTGCTTGTTATTTTATCTTAAGGCGCTGCTGTAGCTGTGAAGGTTGAACACAGTTTGTTTGACACATGTCTTCCACTGATACGAACTGTGAGGGTCAAAGTAGATGCCTTAAATCCTCCACAGTGCCAGGGATGCCTCAGCTGCTGCACATGCACTAGCTCAGGCTGAAAGAAACTCTTAGCTCGACAGACAACTGGATGTTATATGGAAGAGCAGTATTTTTCTAAGAATTCTTTATGAGGCTAATGCTGAGTTTTTCCTTTCTTTACATTAGGGAGCTGTCCAGGTTTATTGCTGCTGGAAGACTACACTGCAAAATAGATAAAGTGAATGAAATAGTGGAAACCAACAGGTACTCACATTCTGTGCATTTGTTTAACTGTCATAATAAAGGGCACTTTAAATGCCATCTTAAAAAAAGTATGTCAGCTACTGTCAAGGAATAATATGACATTAAATATATATCTTTTAAAATTTACAGACCTGATAGCAAGAACTGGCAGTACCAAGAAACTATCAAGAAAGGAGATCTGCTGCTAAACAGAGTTCAGAAACTTTCCAGAGTGATTAATATGTAAAACTACTTAAAGGATTTCCCTTACATCTAAATGAAATAAAAACATTGTCATTTCTTTGTTTTTTTTTTCTTCAAAATACACCCCTTTAAGGAGAGGCTCTAGCAGTGTTAACGACATCCGAGTTCTTCACAGTGAGAAGTGTTCTGTCATGCACGCATTTGTGGGGCTTCGGTGTGACACGCACGTGCGTCCGCAGAGCCTGACTGCGCTTCAGCCAAGCGGGGGTAAGGGCAATGTCCGTCCCCTCTTCCCGCAGGCCGCCCGCCTCACTGTAGTAGGAAGAGACAAGCTGTATAGAAGCCTTGACAGAAAAGCTTCCGACTTAGTGAGCAGAAGGCAGATGGAGCTGTATCGTGCTTTCAGAAGTGACTGAGACAGGACGGTCGCCCTTTTTAGGCTGGCCTAACAGAGCCCAAAGCGTAACTTACTAAACATAGATTTTTTTAAACTCTTGTATATTAACAAAGTGACTTTCCCCTCAAATAGGACCAGACCATGGTAACAGAAGGAAGAGATCTTAGTTGTTCACACTGTCAGACTGCAAGTCTGGCCAGTTTGCTCCAGGAGTGGGGGGCAGCAAGCGAGGCAGGGGAGATCCTGGCATTTGGCTTAAGTTAGAATGGGAAATAGCGTTTCACTGTGAAAGGCAGGAGGGAAAGAAGAGTTTTTGGTGTTTAAGATACTTGCCAAAATATTAAAAGCAGTAGCTGGACGTAGTGGTATGTGCCTATAATCCCAGTACTCGAGGCTGAGGCACAGTGAGTTCAAGGCCAGCCTGAATTGCACAACAAGACCTTGTCTCAAAGCAAATAATTTTTGCAGAACTAAGAAAACTGTTTTTAGCAAACTGTTCTTTTTTTTTGAGACAGCATCTAGGTTGCTTAGGCTGGCCTGGGACTTATGATTCTGCCACCTTAGTCTTCCAGGTTGTCTGGGTTACAGGTGTGCACCACAGTGCATTGCTGAATGTCCACTTACGAAATACTCTGTTTCCTCAACTCCCACTCAATGACTGTTTGGCCTAACGTGGTCACAGAGCAACCATGGCTTTTCTGTCAAGGCTGAAACTTCATAGGGTGTAGAGGAAAGACTTTCCTTGCTTAAAATGTGCTTGATCTGTGTTCTGTCCGTCCATCCGTCTGTCCATCTCAGCCCATCTGCCCAAAGTAAGGATGATGGGAGATGCTGAGAGGTCCCCAGACTGGTGATGAAGATCTAGTAAGAACAACTTTTACCTTACCAACTTTGTGAGGAGCTAATGTTTTCATTAACAGTAATGTATGCTCATAGCAGAAGAAACTCAAGCAGTTAAAAGTGAAATTGCTCTGGAACTTTCCCCTGCAGAGATGACCCCTACTTATATTCTGATGGCTAATTTGCTCGCTGGTGCCCTTGTTACGCACTGCTTGAGACTCACTGTGTTGGCTCCAGTTCCAGCAGCGTTCACTCAGGCCTCAGCACACCAGCCGAAGTGGGAATGGAATCCACAGGGTGGGCAGCGCCCTCAGGTGGCACAGCTGGAAAGACTACACTCCGGTCCCAGCTCCGCACCTGCTCTGCCTCTGTGTTCATTGATCTCTTCTGTAAAACGGCTCTATCAGTCCATTTATATGAAAACCACACACAAAAAATACAAAACATGCATTTCTGACCACGCTGATGAGTGTCGAGTAGAAAGCTGCTGACTGAGCATTACATGACTGAACTGTGCCTGTGCCCAAGGTAACAGGACTGACAATTTTAGACTTAAAATTTGGCTTCATTAAATTTATGTTTTTAGCAAACAGGTTTTTACGGCGGTACGACTACACAGAACAGTAATTACAACCCTTGGTTTTTCTGCCTTTTGGCCACTTCTGACAGTATTTTAGGCCTGACAATGTCTCTCTAGGACACTTTAGGTGCAGAGCTGTACTTTCCAGAAGATCAAAGCTGGGAAAGCGGAGGAGGGTCAAACGGGCCCAACAGTGTGCAACTAAGCCCTCCAGGTGCGTTTCCTTGAAGAAAGTAAATGTATGGCCACCACGTAGAAGCTGAGGATTTTTTAGAAATCACGTATGTAGTCCTAGCCACACGGTGTGCCCCGGAACTGCCGGCGGGCCTGGCCTCTGCCACTCTGCTGTCACCTCTACGCCACCAGGACCGCACACCGGACGGCAGCCAGCGACCTGGGGAATCCACTACCACGTCCCGCCGGGCTTTCTTCACACTGGCTCTGGGCTTCTGATATATTACTGCTACTCGCGAGCCTGAGCTGCTCTGGTTTTAGTCAAACGGATAAGATTCTAACCACATGATACTTTCATTTGCCGAGTAGCACAGAGCTGAAACAATTGCATTTCACTCCCTTTTAGTGGTGGTGAATGTTTCCTCAGGCATCTTAATTTGAGAGCCGTCTGGAGGTTGCAGCCGGAGAGCGCAGCTACGCTATACGCTTGACCGAGGGTTTGGGTCTCCATCGGGTGGCCGTCCTTTTTGAGCGAGCGAGCATGCCAATTCTGGGGGAGGGGGGCGGACAGGAACCCCCGCCCCGCCAGATGGCCTCGCACACAGGACACTGCGCCTCACCACTGTACCAACCCTAGGCTCAGTCACGGCACCCTCTCCTAGTACGAGTCACAGAAAGGAAGTACTTGCACTAGCTTTTCCTCCCTCAAAGATTTTGACTTAAGTGTACTTACCCAGTAAGAGAAATACTTGAAAGCTGTGTCACATTCTGGTAGTCTTCCGTTATATCAATAACAGTTTTGTTTTTTTTTTGGTACCAGGGATTGAACTTGGGTCCTTGCGCTTGCGAGGTAGGCCACCGAGCACTGAGCTAAATCCCCGGCCCCTTCAATAACAGTTTTAGAGCAATTTGTAACAGTAACTAGGAGTAATGTTTAGGAACATGAACTCAGTCTACAGCTGTCTGTTCAGTTCCTGTGTCCAGCGTGACCTGACCCACATGAGCACAGGATGCCTTCAGGGGCCTCAAGCCCAGGGTGCTCAGTCTGCAGTCACCCGACCATCAGTAGCTGGTCATAACGGATCAGTTGACCGTCTCATATTCCAAATTACTGCTTGGTGCTGGTAACCTTTTCTACTTTTTTTTTTTTTGGTACTGGGATTGAACTCAGGTCCTTGCACTTGCAAGGCACGCAGTGTAACCACTGAGCTACATCGCAGGCCCACCTTTTCTACTTTTAAAGGGGATACCCCATGGTTACGGGCTGGGGGCAGTGGGACAGGGCTGTCCCAGTGCCACGCTCGTAATTACTTGTAACCTCGGCAAATCTGCAGGGCTGTGGGGAGTGACATTCAGACCCTGTCTAGGAAACAGGAACGGCTCTGACAGCCATGAGCTGTAGTTTCCAAGTCATAGAACATCATCCTACTTCTGAAGACAAGTGAAAGATGCAAGGAGTTTGTTGCTGTCTGGGCCAAGCCACTGTCACAATGAAGTATATGACCAAAGGTGGGAGCTAGCCCGATTAAGAAGCCTGTTGTGGGGATAACTTTCCGTGTACCAAAAGCGTAAGAAATAAACAGACAAGCTGCCAATGCACGACCAGCCCGGGAGGGGAGCCAGCTTACTGCCCACACCCCGGTGCACTTTCCGGGGCAGGCCTGAGCAGTGGGCTGGGGCTGTCTCCCCTCGGCCTCGATCACTGACGCAGGTCACCTGTAGACAGTGACGCCGGCCCTCACCGTGCCCACCCCAGTGCTCCGTACCACAAGCACTCTGCTGAAACTCGGGCCACTCAGACCCTTGCACCCCATCACCCACCCTGGGCCTATTCCTCAAAGTCCTGTGAGCCCGGAGAGCTCAGCCTGGACCCACCTTTCATGTTAGTCCCACGTAACTGGCCCTACTGACTTGAGCAGACCTCTGACCTTACTCAGACCGCCTGTGGTCACTCAGCTTCAGAAGAAGGTAATTCCGTCCGAGCCTGACTTGAGTGCCTGCCAGATTCTGCGGGGAGTTTCTGGGTCTCTTCCTTCAATCCTGTAGTCACATCCCCACTTGCACTGTTAAATTCTCTTGACAGGGTCCCTGCCCGAATTCTAACTTTTCCATCCAGTGAATGCCTGCTGGTCCCATCATCCTGGAAGGGGGGAAAAAAATATCATTGAGTGGGCCGGTCACAATGGTGTCAACGCTGACCTTCCATCTCACCTCCCCTGCTTTCGCCTCCCTCTCTGATGCTTTGCTTTGTAGAGCCTGTTCTCCCCCTGCCCTATCCCAAATACTCTCCCAGGGTTCTGTCCTGGGGAGCTTCCCTCTGCTCTGAGAGTGGGCTGGAGGGCTGGGAAGTCTTGGAAGCAGAACACAAGTGAGGTGTGTATGTGCCTCTGTCAGGATACAGAATTTCTTTCATGGAATCTGTGGCCAAAAAATATAAAGGTTCAGTCCTGAATGCATAGCCTGGCTCTGCCACATACTAGTTTCAGGATCGTGGGTGAGCCGCCTTCTGAGAAACACCTCCACCTGCCTACAGGAGGCGCAGAAGTTCAAGCACCGCAGTGAGACCCAGTTTCCAAGAGGATTGGGAATGTAGCTCAATGCAAGGTCCTGGGTTTTTAGCCCCATAACGGGTGGG